CTTCGGTGACGCCTGATTCGTTTGTCATTTCAGGGGATCGTTACTGACGTAGATGAGTGTCACAACGTTTCTAATTGGGATACAAAGCTCTGATTTTCAATGTCAACGTTGCGGCGGAATTTTCTTCTGTCCTATCGTGCCATCTTCCGGGTGAGCAGCGTCGGAGACGCAACTCATGGGGGGTGCGAACGGACTGCGATGCCTTGTCATGTTCTAAGGTGTCACTATAAGAGCTGTGAGCAAGACCGTGTAAAGTGCAAGAGAAGGGGGCACGCTACGCGTCCCTCGACTCTAGGGGGCATGCTACGCATCCCTCATCTTTACCTTTCTATGTGACCGCCAACGCAACGTTTGGCTCAAGTCAATGCCCATAGCTAAGTGCTATATGTGTCTTCTATCCTGAGCAATCAGAGCTATCCCGTTGCACAGACGAACCGCCGCCGGCAGTGAGTGCAAAAGGAACGGCCGCCGGTTCTGCCTGCATAGGATTGCACGTGTGGAAGTAAGAGGAAGAGACAGGGTCCAGTCTGTGGAGAGTGCTAGCCAGCCACACCTACATTCATTACAGCTCTGGTGGGGAGAGCAGCAACCAAGTCGAGATCAATCCCCCACGCAAATACTAGTACTAGTACTAATACCTGATACGTCTACTACCACTACTATTACTGCCACCATTACCACCACGACGGCAAGGATGACGACGACGACGACTGCTGCTGCTTGTGTTGTTATTACTACTGCTACTATTGCTTTTACGATTACCAGCAGCACCAGCACGACCACTATCGATACCACTACCTTTACCACATCCACTTCCACGACCAGTTCTGCTACCACTACCGCTACCGCTGCCATTGCCGCCACGACCACTACAACGGCAGACTACGACAACAACGACTAGCATCGCCACACATATCCACAATTATCCACACATCATTGCAACATCAACGACGGACTTGGGCTGGATTCGCACCGTTGCAGGCAACATTGGGCCGACAGCCTGGAGTGATTGAATCTTGACGCTTTGTGTGCGCTCCTCGCATCGACGTCACTGTGTATTTCACCGGGCAGCGTCAGATCAGCTTTATCCCCCAACCCTGATCGATGCCACCATCGTGTCGCCGCTTACGACGAGAGGCGAGACCCATCCACGAGCTGATGTGCAGCCGGGCTAGGCAGTCGGGGTCGCCGCCGGCACAACCCTGAGCTCGCCCCTTTGCCGGCTGGCGGTAGTTGGTGTTGAGGTCGGCGGCAAGTTCGGAGTAGTGCGCCAGCGAGCCGAAGCCGTCCCGCCCACCTACCGTCATCAGTGCATGGCCCCGTGCACTGGTCCAAGCTCCTTGCCGTAGCCACGCAGCGAGTCTACTCCGCCTCGCTGCTCGAGCTCCCCCCCGCAGCCGAGCTGACCTGACCCACGTGAAGCTCTCGCGGACGCCAAGTGATTGGAGGCTGGCCGCCTGCCCCCATGCTAGCCGACTGTGCACTTTTGATTTTCTTGGTTTCCGCGAAGTCCCGCATGCTGTCCAAGCTGGGCACCGCTCCTGGTCCAGCTTTGGTCCTCCTACGCCTGCTGTTGTTCCGGCCGCAACCTGCTCGCATGCCTGCTGCAGCCTTGCGCCCGCGCCGCTGCTTTCCAAAGCGGGGACTGGGCTACGCTCTTGAGTGAAGCTGCCACAGCTTCGCCGCCGGCTCGAGCCGCAGTGTTCGAGCCTGGACCTGGTCTTCGTGTTGACAGGGCGGTCCACCTTGCAGCCTTCGGACGCGCTCGCTTCAGCGAGCGTCCAGCCGCGGGCGGCCAGGGCACCCTCCAACAGCTGTGCGACCCTGACCGCCGCCCGAGCCAGCTGTATGCCGAGTGACGCCGCTCTGTTGTCCTTGCTCCCGGAGGTACCTGTCGCGAGCTCCAACACATGCCCAAAGCCTTTGCCATGTTTCCCTTTGCCTTTGCCCGCCTGTTATATATGCCGCTCCGTTTTCACATGTTTGGACGGACGATGAAGGCGTCACCCACCTCGTGCCCCAGGCCGAGGGTGGCGAGCAGGGCGATCTGCTCATCCCCGCACTGTTCGCCCTTGGACTTGCACTGGCGCTCCGTTCCTTCCAAGAAGAGCTCCTCCCGGCGAGCATGTGCGGGCTTTTGTCGACGACATCTGTGTCACCAGCTCACCCGCACGCACTGGTGCAGTGTTGTCGCGGTTCGCGCACCACCTCTTCAGGTCCCTGCGCATCCTGCTCCATGCCGGCAAACCCCGTGTATGGAATCCTGGCATCCATGACCAGGACCCCCGCGTAATCGTGCCCGGGGGGGGGGTGTGGCTCTGCCTGCTACCATTTCCGGCGCCTATTTTGGGAGAGTGGGGGTGGGGCCAGAAGAAATAGGTATCCGTGCACGAGGACTGCAGATTCCTGTTGCTTTCATGTGCTATGCAGAGAGAGAGAGAGAGAGAGAGAGAGAGAGAGAAAGAGAGAGAGAGAGAGAAAGAGAGAGAGAGAGAGAGAGCCAGAGAGAGAGAGAGAGAGCGAGAGAGAAAAAGAGACAGAGAGAGATGCCTGTGGCAGCGTCCCCTCACCGCCCGGAAATAGTACCGTTACTTATTTCGGACTCCCCTCAACCCCCCCCCCCCCCACACCATCCCACACCCCCCTCCCCGAGGGGGTTCCTCATCCCGCAAGTCTCCGGGCTACCGCTGTTGTATACTTTGTGTCGCCTCGCGCTCATTACTGCCTGCGCTTGCTCCCACCAGCACTCATGGCCGTGTCTACAGCGGCACGTGACCACGCCATCCTGTGGAGGGGGCCCAGCAGCTCCACGGTGTTAATGGCGACGCGGGCCGCGGGGAGCCCACTGCACCAATCCGCAGGCTCGCGTGCGAGCCTGTGTTAGTGCCATTGCGGCCTTGGACCACGCAGTGCAGCTGAGCACGCGCCTGCGGCGCTTTGCGTCCTGCGCTCGCCGCTTACCCGCGACGGCCGCCCGCAACCTTCCTCGACCACCAGGGACGGTGCTGCACTGGCCGTCGCCGAACGCCGCAAGCGCGCTGCCTACCCCGAGCTCCTTCGGCGAGGACCGCAAAGGCTGTGCGTGCTCGCGTGCGAGACCGGCGGGCGACGAGTCGCTCCGCCTTGTCGCGCAGCTCGTCCGTTTGCGTGCCCTGCGAGCCCCTGCTCCGCTCCGAGCAGCTGCCACCCAGGGCTGGTGCAGACGCTGGTGGGGCCTACTCAGCGTGGCTGTGCAAAACACGCTCTTGCTGCCACTTTGCTCGGGTCGCCGCCCGTCCATGCCCCTATGCCTGTCGCGCAGGCACCGCCTCTGCAGGACGTCCTGCACGACGCGTGCCCGCCTTTGCCCAGCTGCCTGCCGGCTCGCTGAGTCGCTGCAGCCCCTCTGCTATGCCGTCGTTCGCAGGTGCACTGGGACCGCGCGCGGATCGTTCGAAAAGTCCGTTGGGGAAAAAAAAAAAACTTGCTTGGGGCACTCCACGTTCGTGACTTTGACTCCTGCCACGCCATCGCCCCTTCACCCCCTTGCTGCCTGCTACCTACCCCTGCACCCCCCCGTTGCCCCTCCAGACCCGGACGAGCTCCTTTCCTACCGACGATAGCATCGCCGGCGGCTACCGGGCAACGCGTGACCCTCCTTCCCTTGCCCTGCTTGAGTTCCAGTTTGGGTCGTTTGCTTCGGAGGTTCTCACTGCCTTGCCTTCCAGCACCTTGGGCTCGCTTGTTTTCCGTGCGTTGCTGCTCCGCCGGCTTTGCTTGCCTTTGCCGCTCAGCGCTGCAGACTGTCGGTGCCGTCATCCCGTTAATTCCCCGGTGGCCACCACGCTCGCGGCCCCGGCTCTGGCATGCTGTGCGACCGCGCCCGTGTTTGCCGCGCTACCGTTGCCTGCAATGTTTGCGTGCGCGGCCTCAGCATCACCGATGACCGCCACATCGAAGTCATCGCAAATGGACTCCCGCTTTGGGGTGGAGCCGGCGGAGCACAGCTCGCTGATGCTCGCTGACGGCGCCAACCTTGTGTCCTTTCTTGATGCCTTTGCGCCGGCACCAGCGACAGTACCGTTGCGCGGCTCTGCACCATGCCCGCGCGACTAAGGCACGCACCTACCCCGAGCTGCTGCGCTCGCAGGGTGCTGGCTTGTGGTCTTTGCATTTGAGGTCGGAGGCCGTTGGAGCTCCGATGCTGCCCAGTTTGTCCGCCTCCTCGCTCGCTGCCGGGCCCGTGCCGTGCCCCGCCCGTTGCCACCTGTAACATCCTGCAACCATGGCAGCCTTCACCTCGCGATGGTTTGCCTTGCTCGCGTGTTCGGCCGCCAGACCCTTCGGTGCCGGTCTGCTTGGTTTTGTCCGGGCCGGCACGGCCAATGTTGACGGCGACCAGCCGCTGCTTACGCTCAGTCTGCACGGGGACCGGGAACTCCTCAACCTTTGCAGTCGTCAAAAAGGCGCGCGGGAAGAAAAAAAATACCAACAACAAGAAGATTGTTCCACATTGCATCATGGTGTACTTGCCACTTCCGGTCCTTCTTCTTGCAACCCCATGGCACGATTCAATCATCACCGGGGCTAGGGCTACAACGGGCCGGTTCTCCCAGCACTTCTGTGAGTGCTGCTTCGCGCGGCAACAGTATGCTCGAATCCAACCGTGCGTGCATGGGCCTGATATGGCTGGATAGTGTGTCGATGACGCGTGTCGGCTTGATGCCGGACCCTGGCCGGCAAGCTTCTTGGAAACAAACATACATTTGGCAGTCGCTACAGCGTTAATCAATATTTGGAACTCCACCGTCGAACACAACGTCCCACAGAACGAAGGTTCACAGAAGTTAGATCATGTGCGAAACAAAATGGGGGCGGGCAGCGCTTCGCAGCGTTGCTTGTCCGGAAAATCTGTGGAGGACGACAACCATTACTTTTGGATGGTGCCACCGGCAAGTGACGAGAGACTATGCAACATGCCATGTTGTTTTCATGACCTCCCCGAAAATCTGCAATTGCAGGAACTTTCAGCAGAAGCACAAAACGAACCCATAGTGCGAGACAAAGTGGTGAAAGCGTTGGAAGTTCTGGACCTGCAGGACGAACTTTGGGTCTGTCAGCGGATTCGTCGTCATGCATATGTCTACATGCATGGCATTCTTCGCGTTTGCCTTGTGCAGGATGCAAAATTGCACTTGGACGGGGCCGAACTGTCCAAATACTTCGCTGGAAAATACTTGGATGGCGAGCTTTATGATGGTGGAGGTTACACGGAGGATGTCGTGGAAGAGCTTTTCACATACAAATACGACACCACAGATGGCGCAATGTTCGTGTGGCAGTTTGCTTTCGACCTGCGTTCATTTGGTAAACCTGACGAACCATTTACGATCTTATACCATTACACTAACAAGCTGTGCTTTCAAAATGTGGGCAATGTGGATCAATCTGCTGCGGAGTTGTTTGCTTCTTTGGTGGACTCGCGTGCGCACTTCGGAAAGGGTGTCTACACCACCCAGCATGAGCCAGCTGCCACTGGGACTTGCTCGGTAAAAAGGTTAGGTTTAAGGCTCAGGGTTTGGGGTTTAGGGTTTTAAGGTTTGGAGTACGTATTTTGGATGGGGAAGGTTGTTGGCAGTGGTTGCGGTGACGTCAGATTGCCATGTAGAGAAGAACGAGGCGGCAACGGTAGTTGCTGAATTAAATTTGCAAAGTGCTGGGGCAGTGCTTTTGGAGTGTGCGTGTGACACCAGTGTGACCCGACTGCCTGAGTAAACGCTTGACGGCAGTGTTCCATGTTCGCGCGATTCGGGTTAGGGTTTCTGAAACCTTCATCCCGCCTGAACCCCAAAGATCCCCCAAGCCCACCGTGACGCTCCCCCCGCCACTTCTTGACAGGAGGGAAAGGGAGGGAAAGGGAATGCCAAAATAAACGGAAGCTCAGACCCACGCCTAGGTAGGAGGTCGGAGGGGGATGCTGGCACACGCTTCTGGAAGGCCACAGGCATGCCTAAGACGACGCGTGCTGTTTCGATTGACTTCCAGGGAATTTTTTAGGGAAGATCATGACAGAGAGCAAAGCTGCACAATTGATTGCATCCTCCAAGCAAGCTGCATCGATTCAAGCACGGCACAGGAAGAGACATGTGCAACGAAGAAGCATCAACGCGTGTTGCAGCGTCGGTGGATGCTGGCACACAGACAGGGGTTGTCGGGAGAAAATTTGAATCGAAAAGCTAGATATGTAATCACTCGAGATATTTCCCAACAAGTCGTGCCAAGGTATGGAACTCAATGGCCCGAGTGCTGTTGAACAACTACAGCAACGAGAATCCATTGCGCCGGGGTCCAAGCGGGCAGACTCCGGCATAGCCGTTCTGCAGTGTTTGCAGGTTATATTCTTGTTTCTTGATTGTTGCGCATGGACAAATGATTTGAGCCCAAATCCTCCACACAGCAACCCGTGACCTCCGACACCAGCAGGCCGCGACTTGACGGACGCAGAGTCGCTGAGAGTTCTCCAGGAATGGGGAGCCACCAATCCGTCGGGTCATCGCGGAGAGTTCTGCATCCCACTGATCGTTCCGGATTCCATGGCATTCAACATCTTTCACCGGCAGACGTGTCCTGGTGTGATTCGTGCATTATTTTTTTGTTCATGTCAAGGGATGTCAAGGGTGCGTAGATCAGTGTGTGTCTGTGATACATTTTGCGTGTGTTCGCCGGAGCGTGAGCACTGTCCAGAATCAGGCCCGACATGGCAGAAAGGCAGATTTGGGATCCCTGTGAGCAGCAAGACCGTGGCATTGCTCTTGGTGGCACGCTGAGCCAGGACAGGTCTGTGCTTATTGAAAAGCAAAGGATTCTGTGTGAGCCGAGGTCAGGACTACAAAGGGCGTGCCGTGCATCGCAACCGGGACGTGTGGGTCGTCAGAATTGCGGATGCATCCGGCGAGCTGCAGCATGCCGCTGCTGATGCAGACGGGTTGCTGGATTTGCTGCAGCGGCGTTTGTCAAACTTGCGGGAGAGATTGGGGAACGAAGACGTCCGAACGCTCAAGTGCATGTTCGACCTGGCAGTGAGGTTGCAAGGTCGAGCTAGGCTCAAAGATGCAGAGTCTTTGTATCGCGAATGCTTGCAGGGTCGCAACCCGGAAGCAGGCAGCGCTGAAATGAGTGTTCTGCTCAGCAAGTCGCAGAGCTTTAACGTGCGCAGATAAGGTCGGAACAAATTGGGTGACGAGCACCCGCAGACGCTTGAAAGCATCAACAACTTGGCAGTGCTTTTGCAAAAGGAAGGTCTGCTGGAGGAGGCGGAGCCCTTGTACCGTGAAGCCCTGGAGACATGCACCTCGGCCGTGAGTGGCGGCAGCAGCAGCAGCAGCAGCTTTGCGAAGGGAGCATGTTGTTCGGATTTGACAACCCCATTCGTTTACGCAAGTTGTTTTGGTGCCACCTGGCATGCGCAGTTGTCATCCGTTAAGAACACAATTACACAGCCTTCACGAACACAGTATCCCAAGGCAAGGCCCAGCTGGACGAGGACGATCAGGGGATTTGGCTGATCATCAACAACTTATCTGTCCTCCTCCAAGACTTGGGAAGATTTTCCGAGGCCGAACCCCTTCTTCGAGAAGCCTTGGAAAAGCGTTGCGAAGCAGAGTTGGTCTGCTTTCGGGGTTCGTGGGGAAGTTTGTTGAAGAAATCTGAAAATTTTTCGGCGCATTGGGTGGTTAATACAAGGATCGGGAATGAATGACCAAAGGCACAGTTTCCTTTGTGGTCCCCATATGCTTGGAATCAGCGCATTACGGCCCCCGTGTTCCCGAGGAAGGGCTCTTTTGGGCGAGGAGGATCAGAAAGTCTTGACCAGCACCAACAACTTGGCAGTGCTATTGTACATGCAGGGAAAGCTGGGCGAAGCTGAGCCGTTGTTTCGTCAGGCCAACAATATGTGCGGCGGGCTTAGAGCAAAGGTCGTTCTTAACGCGGTTTTAGGCTACTGCTTCCACAGCCCTTCTGTGCCTTGCAGGCTCGAGTTGCTGTGGTAGCCTTTGCTAAGGCAAGACTCTATTGGGCGATGTTCACCCTCAGACGCTCAGCAGCTTCAACAACCTCGCTTGCATCGTGCAGCAGCAGGGCAAAGTTAAAGAGGCGGAATCCCTGTTCCGCGAAGCTTTGGGGAAGTGCCCGGAGCTCAGGTGGAGGCGCTTGCTGGCAGAAGTCAATCAGTTCTGGACTTCGACAGAGTTTCCTGACTAAGGCCAGGCAAAACTTGGTGACAGTCATCCCGCAACCTTGGACAGCTTGAACAATCTCGGTTTACTGCTTCTCAAAGATCCGCAACGGCACGAGGAAGCTGAGTCCTTATTGCGTGAGGCTCTTGATAAACGCCGCGAGCTCGGTTGCGAGATGTTGCGAGGTAGGGATGCCCAAGACCCCCATGACTGATAGGATGCGTAAAGTGGTTTTAGCCTATGGGGGTTTAGTAGGGATTAGGGTTCCCATAATAGGGTTCATATTAAAGAATCCCCACCCCAAGAATCTTAAACCCCCCTTTGGGCCTCCCATCAAACACGGAGCTGGAAGTCATTATGCCACTTCATTCACTTGATTGAACCGGCACTTCGCCGTCAAACGTCACTTTTCTCCCTTGTAATGGGCGTCGTACTCGGTGTGGGTCTTAAAGCTGTTGTGCGCAGCCGAACACACATTTGTGCTTTCAAGCCTTGCAGTCCTCCGTTGCTGTTGTTCTGTCGGCGAGCGTGCTTACGCAGCTAGACCAGCGACAGCTTCAGCTTTGTTCCAACATGGTTTGTGCATGTTTGTGCATTCCCGACATTTCATTTTTTGCCGTATATTTGTATCTGCCGAAGCCCTATGAACCCTGGAATCCTCATCTTCCTTGATAAATCGGGACCTAGGCCGAGAGATTTTCGGTGAGGATCATCCGGAGGTCTTGAAGAGCATCAACAATTTGGCCGGCCTCCTTCAACAGCGAGGCTGAGAAGCTTGCATAATTAGTTCTCCTATCACCTAATATCCTGACACAGTCTGCATATGAATGTCCTCACCCAAACCCTCTGTTTTTGAATTCTTAAGGCTTCGTAGACAAAGCGCTTCGACTGGAGGTTTTAGGGGCTTCGGCTTGTTGCCATGAGAACCCTATTCCCATAAGCTGTATGTCTAGGACTTGCATGAGCATTAAGCCTGAGCGGTAAGCCCTAAACTTCCACAAGCTTCACTTAAGCTTGAGCCGTTAGAACCTACCAGTAGCCCGAAACGTAGAGCCCGGACAGAAACCCAAGAAGAATCCTCTTCCCGATGAGTTCTTGACCCAAATCCCAGCATCTGAACTGTATGCCCAAACTAAGCAGTGAAACCCTGAAACGAGGCGGTGCAGCGGCGGCAGAGTCACTGTTGCTGTGCTTGTTGAGGAGCTGACCTTAATGCTTCACAGGGGATGGTTTTCCAGAGCTTGACGAAAATTGTTTTGATTCTTATTCTTGGCATTCACATTATCCTGATTCTAAACCCTAACCCCTAAACCCTCACCCTTAAACCCTCCAATGTTGAAGGCTGGTTTAATTCAGTTAAGACCCTCTTCGGATCTTGCATTCATTTCCCCAAACCCGGCACCCTAAAGTCTTATTCACCAGCATGGTGACACAAATTCCAGAACAGCGAAGGTTCCGGGATGCTTTGGAGAAGTGCAGGGGCCTCAGGCATAGGGGTTTGCGGGTTTAGGGCACTTCAAGAGGCCTGGATGCAAAAAGGGCTTGAGACATTGATGCTCTCTTCTTCTTAGGGGTTCGGGTGCACAGGTGCTGCAGCTTAGTGTTGACTCGGTGGCGAACAGCGGGATTTGTGGCCGTTTCGGAGTAGGTGATTCAATCGCAAGGCAAGCTGCACTTGTTGAGCGGTCGGAACAGTCCGTATCGGGAATGGCCATGACCCTGAGTCCTGAGGGTGTCATGGTGGTGATGATTGCGAAGGAAAGAGAGGCCATGAAGATCGAGGGACTCACAGAGGTGGCTATACATGGGATCCCCACAAGATGACGAAGACCGTGGCAGTGTTGTTTTCGTTGCCTGCTGGTGGTGCTGATGGTGATGGTGAAGAATAAGAAGCAGGAGAAGCACAACACTGTGAGTGTGCTCATGCTGTTGATGACCGTGCTGGTCTTAATGACTCTGCAGCTGCTGCTGATGATGCTGTCGGTATCGATGTTGTTGACATGGTTTGGTGCTACGGTGGTGACGTTGATGGTGGCTTGACTTTGAGGCCGAGACAAGTACCCGGAGAACCACCCGCAAGTTGTCGCCATGATCCACAACTTGGCGAAGGTTGTGTATGAGCAGAGCCGTGTGGTTGAGGCGGAGGGGTTGTACCAGGAGGCGTTGCAAAACTGCCGGGTGCCCAGCATGGTTCATCCTGGCAAAGTGACCATCTGTCATACTAGAGTAAGGTACTGCATCCAGACAAGTCTAGGATCCTTTTGAAGCCTTGTGAACCCTGGACCTAAACCTAAATCCCCCTACTATACACTGTAAGCATCTGTAAGCCATGTCGAATTGACCCCTGATTAAGCCTACAAGGACACTTGAGGAACAGCAGGGCTTGCTCGCAAAAGCTGCACCCTGAACATCCCCGAAGCCCACGAACCCGAAATCCTGTTACACACCCTAAACCCTCAACCCTCAACCCTAAGATCAAGGCATAGGCTGCTCACCTCCAGCTGTATGTAGGTGCCTGACAGTTCTCGGGGTGGTTTGTTGAAGCATAGTTGAGACTTTAAGAAGGAACCCATAGCAACCCTGTGATAGTGTTTTCAATAGATACTTGATCCTTAAATCAAGACCCTTCTTGACTTTGACATAGGAAGCCTATGTCAAAGTTAGTTGATCAACCAAATCAGACCCTTTTATCAAGACGCGTCCTAAACTAAGCCCTATAAGCCCTAAACCCTAAACTCTAAACGCTCAACCCTATATAAACCCTAAACAACCCCTCTTATATTGAGGCTCAGGAGAACTCGGCGGAGAGCATCCGGAAACCTTGAGCCTCCTGCACGACCTCGCGCAGCTTCTCCAGGAGCAAGGCTGCACCAGGGTTTAGGGATGTTTAGGGGTTCAGGGGTTTCGGGTTTCGGCCTTTAGGGTCTAGGGGTTTAGGGTTTAAGGGTTTAGAGGTTTAGGTTTAAGGGGTTTGCAGCTTCGGGCCTAAACCCTTGCCCAGGGTCTAATGGATGCGTAAGGCTTCGGCCAGAGCGTTTGGGCTTTTTGGGTTTGCGGTCTTACGGCTGAAGGTGTTCGGGTGAAGGATTTGTTGCCGGCTTGGGGTGTAGGGTTAGAGCCGGGGGTTTGCGGTGTCGGCTTGGGTTTGGGATTGGGGTGTTTAGGGTTTGAGGTTTGGGGTTCAGGGCTGGCTGAAGCTTAAGGCAAAGCCAGAGACGCCAAGATCGCTTCCGCAGGGTTCCATCTGAAGTCGCGGGTTCGGCCTTAATGGGGTTCTTGAGGAGCCTGTCATGGGAAGCCAGGGACCCTTGGTTACCCTAGGGTCTTCGTGCAGTTCCATATCCCTCATCTAACGCATCCTCGGGCCTTGAACTTGCCACGTGTATGAATAGATCTGGGGTTTCCGAAAATTATGGGGGTGCCTCATTTTGGGGTCCTTATATTAGGGATCCTACTATTTAGGGTGCTATATTTGGGTCCCCTGTTTTCGGGACCTCCCATCTGTCGACAGGCAAAGCTGCAGAGGCCGAGCCCCTTTATCGAAAGGCGCTTCAGAAGTGTCAGGAGCTCAGTTTTATATGTAGGTCCGGGAAGGTTCATAGGGATGTATACGGATTGTAGGTTTTCGGGGTTTATAAGGGATAAGCTAGGGGACGAGGGATCAAGCGCGGGATTATATATAGGGTCAACGATTCGGGTTTGGGATTTAGGGTTTGGGGTTTAGGGCACACGATCTTCACTCTGAGACGAAAGTGCTTACAAAGCCAAGCTTGGATTTGAGAACCTCCACCGCTCGGCAAGCCCTACGCTTTAAATCCCAAATGCCAAATACGAGCGATACCCCCTCCTGAAGCACCAAGCTCGAAGAGTACTGGGAACCTTCGGCTTCTTGTGCTCGAGGCCGGGAGAAAGGCGAGGATCACCCACAGGTTCTGCCTTTCATGAGCCATGGCTATCTTGAAAACCTGGTTTCCTGTGTCTTTTCTGAAGGCCATACTTGGAGGGGCGGGGGACTTAGTAAGTAGGTTATGAGTAGAGTTATAAGTACCCTAGATGGATTTACCCCAATTATAACCCTACTTATAAACGACTTACCAAGTCCCCTGCCCCTCCAAGTAAGCACTAGAAAGACTGCTGCGCCCCGAAGTTGTCCAGGAACAACCTGGCAAAGTTTCTTCACGAGCAAGGTCGCCTGGAAGAAGCGGAGCCGCTCTTCCGTGAAGCCTTGCAGAAGTGCCATGGGCCTAGCTTCTGTCCTGGGTTTCCATGCAGGATCATCGTTTCGAAACAGGGCCAGTATCCTTCCATACCTTTTCCTTGTTCTTTGGACTCCGTAGTCTGCAATACAGCAGCTTGTACACGAATGGGATCCGACTCAACCTACACTCAGGAAGGCACAAGACATGCAATAACAGGGCGGAGAGGACCAGTAGCAACACACATCGTCATCAGGTATTCATCATGCACAGAAAGAGAGCTGTCTCCAGGCAATGAGCACAAATGCACATCGTGTCCGCAAGAAGTGCCATGGTAACATTAATCGTCGTTGTGGGAGCGGTAGACAAGGCATCAGCTCCTGCTGCTGCCACAGTTCTTACCTTTGGTTAGTAGGGAATGGAGGAATGGGGTACAACTATAACTACTAGTACTACCATTCCTCCATTCCCTACTAACCAACGGTAAGAGTTGTGAGCATAACTACACTCAGCAGTGTAGGGAGTCGAGACATGAGGGAAGAAAAAACTCAACCACTTCAGTTATGGTGGTGATCGTCCGGCAATGCTGCAGATCATTGTAGCTACGAATGAGCTCTGTGTTGCAAGCTTTGTCCTTCGAGGATCTGGCGGCAATGATTGAATCGAAGCAAACTAGACCCTAAGCCTTAAATCCAAGCGGAGGCCCCCAACAAAAACCTGAGTGACAACACCCCTAAGGCCTAAGCCTTCCGAGCCCCCTAAGAAAGCAGCTCTCCGGCTACTTGAAGGCTCATGGGATTTGGTACGTAAGGTTATAAGTAGGTTATAATTAGGATAACCCAACTTGAGAGACTTATAACCCCCATTATAAGGTTATAATTAGGGTATAGTTAGGATAACCCCACTTCAGGGACTTATAGCCCCAATTATACCCTACTTACTAAGACTTACTAAGTCCCACGATCCTTTAAGTATCGACTTGGAACCCCGGGACCGCTCCGGAAGTCAGACTTGGCTCGCAGGATTTGTGCGGAATGGGCCGCTTCCATTTTTTTGCAGACTCGGAGAAGGGGCTTCTAGGGTGCAGGGTGCAGGTGAGCCCGTGGCACGTTGCATCGCAAAAAAAAACACATCGTCAGTGTAGGGCATGTAACTTTTGACAGAAAGAAGCCAACGCCTCACCTCTACGTTCCGATCATGGCGGCCGGAAGTCAGATGCCGAAGGACATCGAGGCCCGAATAAGGGCCATGCCAGGGAACACTACGTGTGTGGACTGCAACAACAATGCACCCCAGTGGGCCAGCGTTACCTACGGCACCCTCATGTGCCTCGAACCTTGGCGGCAAGAAGCCTCTCGGTCTCCTTGGCCAGAGACTCCAATATCCCTTAATTAGGATATTAAGGATCCTACTATAATTTGAGGAATATTCCTTAATTAAGGGATCTTGGAGTCTCTGGGTGAGCCAATGCGCGGATGCCACAACTTGCGCTAGACATACCTTATACCAGAGCTCAGGCTCGGACCTTACGAAGTGGAAGAGCGATGGAGAAGTGTGTAAATGTGTGTAGGTGTATATATATATACATATATATATGGGTGTATATTTATTATCAATCTAAGAAAGAATCGCAGTTCGAGGGGGTTAAGAGCCAGGAGTGCTCCGGCCAACATCGAAGCCTCGGCGTCCACCTTTCCTTCGTCCGCTCAATTCAGATGGACTCCTGGACGGAGAAGCAGATTGCAGCCATGGAGAAGTATCTTTGCTGCTCTTAGGAATTCTGTTTTACTTTTCTTATGATCTCATTCCAATGGATTCACAAGAATAACATGTTTTCTGGTTCTAGCCCTAAACCCTAAAGCCTGAGGGTAGAATTTTGTTGCTTGTAATCTGGACCACGACCTTTACATCGTCTCACATTATCAGACCTCGAACCATATGCCTCGCCTGCATTGTCCGAGTGTGAGCGCCCGGAACCCTAAACCCTAAAACCCTAAACCCCTAAACCTCTAAACCCCTAACCTCTAGACCCGAAACCCTAAACCCCTAAACCCTAAACCTCTGAACCCCCAAACCCCTAAACCCCTAAACCCGAAGCCCCTAAGGTCTGGTGGAAATCAGAAGTTCATCGACTTCTGCGAGGCCCGAGGCATCACAAAGAACTTGAAGATCCCCGTGAAGTACAACACCAAGCAGGCGGCCTACTACAAGGAACCTCTGTCACAGTTGGGTAAGATTTTTCATTTTTTTAGGATACTTAAGCCCAGGGAATAGACATTCATTTGTGTAGTTACAGTAATCCCAAGGAGGAATCGACATTCATGATACTATCCCCACCAAGGAACGTCTCAGCCGACTCCTTGAGGGCAAAACGGAGCCCCCGCCGGACCCGGGGCGCTTCGACCCAGCAACCTGGGTTTGGAGTACCATACTTGAATACTTTTTTGGTACCTGTTCCTTGAAGGAATCATTATGAAATAAAAGTCTATACTTTCTTCTCCCGTAACCAGGAATCATTATGAAATAAAAGTCTATACTTTCTTCTCCCGTAACCAGGAATCATTATGAAATAAAAGTCTATACTTTCTTCTCCCGTAACCAGGAATCATTATGAAATAAAAGTCTATACTTTCTTCTCCCTGGTTACGTCAAAGTCCAGGCAACCGGAGTTTCCGAGGCGCAGGGCGCGGAGCCACTGCCGGGAGAGACCACGGAGCAATACAACGAAAGACAGGCTCGTAGGACGGTTTAGGGTTCAGCGTTTAGGGGTTTAGGGTTCAGGGGTTTATGGGTTTAGGGTTTAGGGTTTGGTTTAGGGTTTGGTTTCGGGTTTAGGGTTGATGAGGTTTCAACAGAGTGTTGTAGGATACAGGAACTCCTGGGGATGTTAGTACCCTGAACAGCTTACTTGCAAAACGCTGAACGCTAAACCCTAAACCTTGAGACAGAAAGAAAGCCAAATCCTAAACCCTAAACCCCGAAATCCACACGCACAAATCGAGAAGTGTACCAAAAAGGCCCTCAACAAAAATTTTCGAAACCCTTCCATCAGGCTCGACTGAGGGAGGCAGCCCGCGAGCGCTTGCGCCAGAAGTTTGGGAACGGCAGCCTCAGCAGTGTGGGTTCTCAGCCACAGCCAGGCACCAATGCAAATGTTGGATTATTGGGGCTATTAGGGTTTAGGGCTGGGAATGCCAGGAAGCCGCCAAGCGTAGCTTGAATTGCCAATTTTCCCATGTCCAACAAATGTTGTATACTTCGACACATTAGGACCGGCTGTGTGACAAAGTTGATCTTGTACGATCCCTGTTTGGCGGATGTGCGAAGCAGCCTCATAATGCTCATACATCCCATGACTACGGGCGAAGCGCTGTCCAGACAGTTGCCGTTGTTGAAAAGAAAGCCTTGCCCTTCCTACGCTGTAATTAGAGGGCTCCTCTTCGAACCCTTAACCCTATACCCCAAGCCCTGCGCGACCAGGTGCTGACAACATGGGATTGGATGGTTTGACGAACATGGCCTCGGGGGCTGTGGGGGCGGTGGGCGGCCTCTTGGGGGGGGCGGTCGGCTTCGTGCGGAAGTCCGTGGTGGAAAACGAGAACCTGCAGGACTTCACGTATTATAAAGTCTAGCATATGAAGGTATAATAATCCAGAATATTTTAGCATAGTGTTTTATACTATATGCGTATTAACTATTGCACATTATAAGTGTGTTATAAGAATCGATACGTGTAGTATAGTACACGACAAGTTATTAAGACACCCTAAACCCTAAACCCCTAACCCTTAACCCCGAACCCTAAGCCCTATAAGTTGGGTACGGCCCCCACCCAGTAATAGTTGAATATATTCATTATATATGTATATATATATATATATCAGGACCTTAATAGTAGCTCTACTATAGACTCTTACTGTAAGGGGGCAGTACCTAACCTATAAGTGGATTAGGCAGGGAACCCGTGCAGGAGACCTTAAAGGGCACCGTGGGCTCCGTGGGCCAAGCGGCTAGTGGCGTGTGGGGCCGCTTCTTGGTAGCAGAGTAGCCCAAAGGCTCCATGTGGGAGTTTCCGAAAACTAGGGGCACCTTATTTTGCGGTCCTTATAATATGGTTCCTACTATTGTGGGTACTATATTAGGATCCCCTATTTTCGGAAACTCCCATGTGCTCATATAGTAGCTACTTAGGCCTTAAAAGGGTCCCTGTATAGGTACTTTAAGGCCTGAGTACCTAATATGGGTACATGGAGCCTTAGGGTTGGGAACCTTTTGCTTTTTTGTGGCATTGCAACGTACTAACTATAGGTACTCTAGTAGACAATAGTACACAAGAGTATACTGTAATCTGCTTTAATATTTTATTATACCTTAAATTACTATAATATATTATGCTCTAATATGCTTCAACTATGCTGTGTTACTGTCTGGATTATTATCCTTGCGAGATTACTGACACGAAAGTAAGGCTTCTCTCAGACGGTCAACGACGGCGAAGTTTTAGACAGCCTGAAGCGAAATGTTACCCTTCAGGAGGGTTCCGCGGTGTCTCAAGGAATCGGTTGGACAAGCAACACCGTTGGCGGCCTGCTTAACAAGGCAGGACAAGGCTTAAACCCTAATCCCTAAACGTTCAGCCATGCAGGAGGCAAAAAGCCCTAAATCCTAAACCATTACACCCATAGAATAACATGGCAAATACAAAACCCTAAACCATAAACCCTGAACGCTCCTGGCATGTTTAACAAGGCAGGACAAGGCCTCGGCAACATCAGCGCTGGCATCGGAAGCCTCGTGGAGGATGAAGATTCGGGCTACGCTGCTCCTAAAGCTCCGCGCTGTCCAAAAGGGCATCTGGGTGGCAATTTTTCGCACGCTTTCTCGTTCCTGCTATGAAGGTAATTACAGGATATTACAGGATATTACAGGCAAAAGCCCAAATTTAGAAACCACCAAGCCTTCTACCAAGTTGTGAGAGTGGAAACCCAACACGAACCCATGAAGTCCGAAACCCCTGAAGAACCACCCAGACATTCCCTTGTGCAAACCCTTTGTTGCATGGTTCAAAGGCCCCATAAACCCTCGCACCCTGAAATCCAAAGCAAAAAGCCGTCAGGACCCAGGACGGATAAGAGCCTTCCACCATACAAAACTTAAAAAACAAGCCAGGCACACCCTTCGTAAGTTTTTATTTAAGAGCACATAAATTTCCTGACTTTAGCAGCCTCTAACTCCTTTCCATAAAAATGAACTTAAGCCCGAGACTCCACCCCTACGCCCCTAACCCTACAAGCCATACACCCCCCTAACCAAGCCCTATACCCTAATCGGCCTCAAACCCTAAACCCTGAACCTTATGCCCTAAACCCGAGAAGCTTGCTCAAACTGACAGAGCATCCTCAACCCCGGAAGCAACCCAGGCATTCCCTTTGTACGGAAGTAAGATCAGACCGATGCTCACTTTGCAAAGCCTCGGGGACGCGCTATGCCTGCTCTGCAGGTTGCGAGTTAGGTTAGGGTTTAGCGATGTTCAGGGCTAGGGAGTTTAGGCTTTAGGGTCTAGGATTTAGGGTTTAGGGTTGTGGGTTTAGGGATGCTTAGGATTTAGGGACTTCAGGGTCACGGCAAATGGCAAACGGGTTGGGATTGTAGTGCTTTGATGTATGGTGTACTATGGTGATAAATCGGCGGCAAGGACTGATACTCATTATATAGCAACCTCTATAAAGGGAACTCCAGAAAGTTGGAATATGGATTAATGGTAGGATACCCTATAATTTACCTTAAAGGGGTTACGATAATGATATTCCAACTTTCTGGCTTCTACTGTAGCTCCACGTCTGGTTGGCGCTGAGCAAGGGCGTAGGTGCTTTCACACCTACTTCGACAAGGGCCAAGCGGTTTAGTGTTATTCGGTTCTATAAGGATCAGGCAAATTTCGAGCCTCGGGTGTAGGCGTAGGGTCTGGTTTTCAGGGTTGAGGGTTTCGGGGTTTAGGTTTCGGGTGTAGGTGTTTAGTGTTTAGTCTTGACAGGTTGCGAGTACTACATCTGCATCAAGTGCTTCGAGAAGCCGGCAGCGTCCGCCAAGAGTTCCACCAAAGGGGGGATGAGCTTTGACGACGATTGGGGCGAAGAGGAAGAACCACCAAAAGAGGTGACAAAGGCGGACATGGATCGAATGGCACGTGAAATGGGGATGAAGCTGACAGTCGATGCGCCCCAGAGCAACGTGTCGACGTCAAACAAGACTGACAGCCCACAGAAGGCCTGCAGCGTGAAAGCCGAAAGCCATGAAAACCACAAAACCCCCAGCTTTAGATCCTCGACTCCGACCTTCCCAGCTCTTGGCAGGTTGTTAAATCTTTTGCTTTTTTGGGGTTTGTGTCCAGGCTGCTCAGGCCCAAGCAGTAGTTAGATATGCCCGAGTCACTACCAAACCATATATCAGTTTTCAACTCCCCCGCCCCCCAAAAAAACAGCCCAACCCAAGCCCGAGCACCGGAAACCTTCTGCCCATTCCATCTGGCGACATGACCGAGCCGGGCGCATCTATGCTGGGGCCCCCAGCTGCGGTTGCCAGGGTACCGGTTCAGGGGTTTGGGTTCCGGGTGTTAGGGTGTAGTACAGGGTCATAAGGGTTGGGGTGTTGTGGGTTTAGGGGTTTGGGGATAGGCTTACTAGGTAGGTTTGGGGGTTTGGGGATAGGCTTGCTAGTTAGGGTTGGGGTGTTGTGAGTTTAGGGGTTTGGGGATAGGCTTACTAGTTAGGGTTGGGGTGTTGTGGGTTTAGGGGTTTGGGGATAGGCTTACTAGTTTAAGAAACCCATAAAAAATTGCAGCCCGAGAATCTCAAGCAACCCAACCCCCAATCCTAAAACCCTAGACCCATCGACAGCCTCAACCTTAACACCCTGTGCCCACCTCCCTAAACCCAAGCCCTAAACCCTAAACCCCGACCTCTCAGCTAAGCCCGAGAGTGGGCGCTGGTGGACTGGGCCAGACAAGGCGCGGAAGTTGTGCTCAGACAGGGCCTTCGGGCCCTGTTTGTCACAACTTCAATGAAGGGGAAGTTTGTGCTCAGACAGGGCCTTCGGGCCCTGTTTGTCACAACTTCAATCGTTCGATTGTCGTGCTCAGACAGGGCCTTCGGGCCTTGTTTGTCATGGCAGTCAAGGGTTGAGAGTTCTGCTCAGACAGGGCTTCGGCCCTGTTTGTCAGGCTCTCTACTAAGGAGCTACTAAGGTGGTGGCGTGGGGTGTCCGTCCGAGCCCAGCGAGTGTTTTTGTTTTCGGATTTCGGAGTTTGAGAGGCCAGGTCAAGGTGATGTCCGAGCAGTGCCAAAACCCCGGGCCCGAAACCAAAAGCAGCGAAGCCCCGCCCAGTTACCGCCGAGTGTGTCCAGCAAAGCAGCGGCCTCAGGAGAATCAGGATTTTTGATTTCAGGATTGCGAGGGCAGTGATTGACTGTGTGAGAGCCACACCCAAGTAAAACTCGCCTGATAATTCAATAAACCCCCACTCAGGTCGAGTGAGATGGTGGTCCAGCAAAGCAGGGGCCTAAGTCCGAGGAGCATTGGGAACTCAGGATTGAGAGTGCAGTCGCTTTAGTCACTGAGTGCGCATCTGGGGCCATCAGACCTCCTGAATCCAGGCTCTCATTCAAGAAGCCTCCCACAGCATACTTCGCCCGAGACCAAACGACATCGCCCCGCCCGAGATACAAGCAGACAAGCCGAAAGCTCAAGAAAACTCTCAAGGTCGAGCCAGCTGCTGTGTCCGAGTGGATTCTCGATCCGATTCCGAAGGCTCGCTTGGTGCATGCAGCTTTTGCCTTCTGCAGTTGTTGCTCATGGCATGCATTGTGCACTGCAGGGCTGCATGAGTGCACGAGCATGGGCACTGGCATCTATCAATGCCAATCAGCATGAGCAGACCTTGATGCGTTTCGCGATGTCGGCTTAAGATTCAGCAGCATTCATGAACATCGGTTCATGCCATGACGTTATCTGCTGCTAGGCTGCTAGGCCAGGCTATGCATGGGCCCATTAGTGGCACGTCCGAGTTACGGCAACAATCTTTAGGACTGTAGGGGTTAGGGGTTCATCATCTAATCTAGCCATTGCGGCACCTCTACTAAGTCCTATCTAATCTAGCCATTGCGGCACCTTTGCTATCTAATCTAGCCATTGCGGCACCTCTAATACTAACAAGTCCTAGACTTACTAAGTACGAGATGAGCAGGCAGCTTTGTCAAAACACATTAATTAAGTCGCCCGTGCAGCCATGGAGTGCACCCAGGAATCCTATTTTCGCGAGATTCCCTGGGATTTCATTAAGAGCGCCTGCAACGTAGCGGTGGTGCGAAGCCGTTTGATTCCTCGCGCCCTATCTGCAGCTAGGTTGGGTTTAGGCCTGTGATCGCCGCATGTTCCGCAGTAGAACCCTAGACCGCCTACCCAGGTGATGAGACCGAGCTGCCACACTTGCAGAAAGCCTGCCTCCCAGCCTTCACGTGGCAGTTCGGCGAAGTGTTCACCCCTGTGTACGAGCGTCACTATCCACTGGCATGGGCGCTCCGGTACATGCGGGTGGACGAAGGAGCATGGATCGTGCCTGTGCTAAAATTTAAACTAACAGGGCCTAAATTTCTTGTAGTCCGATGCCATTCAATTCAGTCAATACCCTGACCACCGACAGGTTGTGGTCTCCGGGATGCTTCATTCGCACGAGCGGGCCAAGCCTCTTACGACCGAGCTCGTCATGTTTGCCTTGCGGCTGGTTTTGAAGAGCGAAGGAGGCTGGGATCCGTCCGATATATCCGCGAAGATAAGTGTGGGCGGTCACCGCATTCGCAAATATCTCCGTATCTTGGCTGCGATTTGTGGTGGCTCGCTCGGACTCAAACTAAACACTCTAATCGCATCCAAAACTTGTTTCTTCCAGGTGCTCAACATGCTCACCCTTTTGGACCTCCCAGACGCGGTGACCGCCCGCATTGGGATCAAGAGGGCCACTGGGTGCCTTGTCTGAATTGCAACTTGGACCTTAGTCTATGCTTCTGATTCTGTTCAACAGATCTCAGGGCAGTGGCGAGATGGCGGGGGCGGTGGAGGCTCTGTGGAAGGAGGTCCCGGGCTTCTGCTACTGCCTGTTTTTCTTGAGCCCGATGCCACCGCAAATGTGGATGGAATCTCGATCGCATAAGGACTGGCACAGCACTCGCAGCTCGCATCATAAACCCTACCCTTCAAACCTCAGGACTTCGCAGGACTGTGCAGATCGAGTCCCACCAACCATGGTGCGGACTATTTGCACGAGCACTCCATCGCGATGATCCGCTACATCCTGGCGTTCCAGCAGGACCCTTCGTCCGAGGTTGCTTTGGATGGCCTTGAGAAGTCCAGGAAAATCCTCAGGGACTTCATCCAGGAGAAACGAGGTTGCACTTTGGGAAACTGTGGTTTAATAGATGTTAAATGTTCATAAATAAATTTCCAGGGCCCCAAAATCTAAACTACAACCCAGGAAGCGGATGCTACTGCAGCACGAGGAGGCCGACTATACGTCTTCGACCGAGGACCTCCCGTTTTGGCACTATGAGGGCGACGACGATGCTAAGCTGCAACAGTCAAACGCCCGAGAATCAGCAAGATAATATGAACTTTTCGGCCACCTCCTGCTCAGGCCAAATGGAAAGACAGGTGGCAGCCTTCAAGAGCGGCTGGTCCTAAAGCGGCAGCTCCTCCTCCACCCAATCCGGCCTCTTCGGCCGCTCAGGCCGCTCCGCCTCCACCTCCGCCTCCACCGGCCGCTCCGCCCCAAGCGGCCGCTCCGCCCAAACCAGCCGCTGAAGCCAAGCCGGCCTGTCCGCCCGAGAAGACCACGAGCGCCCCAGCAAGAAAAGCTCCTCCTGCTCACCTTGGCCCTGCTCCGCCCGATACACCCACAGTGGCTGCACCTCGTCCTACTGTCACTTGGCTAGTTTTTGACCAGTTGCACTGCAGCACATAGCAGCTATGTTCGGACCGAGGAGCCCGAGAAGCAGGAGAAGCAGGAGCCGGCATCGTCATCATCGGCGGCGGCCAAGTCGCCGAGCCGCCACAACAAGGCTAGGACGCCCGCCGAGCACTGCAGTAACATAATAAATTTGGTGATATGCCCTAGCCTTGCAAGGTGGTGCCCACTGCCACTGCCACCAACGACGATGCGTCCGAGCCCGCCGCGACCGAGCAGGACCAATCGTTGCAAACCGAGTGAAGTTCGAGTTGGGAACCATTAAAACGCCAAAGTCTCGACTGGCTTCGCCCGAGGCGCCAGAGATTCCGCCCGAGATTGCGCCCGAGATTCAGCCCGAGAGATCCCGATCCTTGGCGGCAATGTTAGGCTTGCCTTCTTGCCACTCAAGTAGCATTTGTTTGTCGACCGTATAACTGCACCTTATCAGGTCCAGTTCGCCCGGTGCGCGCGGTAGACACCCGTGGCCGCTGCGTGCTCTGCAACGTGCCGGGCAATGCTGCGCACTGGATCTCGGCCAGCCACATCAACAGGGAGATCGAGTTGGCGGCCGAGAGCAGCGACAGTGACTGGATCGACTCGGACTCAGACTAACCCAAAAAGAGAGGCCTTTTTATTCTTAGGTTACTGGGTATCCTAGGCTGTCATCCTGAATCTGAGACTTACAGATTATTAAGTCCGAGTGTCTGACCGAGTCGAGACATGCATGTCGCATGCCATTTTGCACCGAAGGTGCCGAATCCGAATTCTAAGAGCTCCGAAAAGAATCTGCAGTGGCTTGCGGTTGTTCTATCCAGAGATTCAAGACAGGCTGTTGACTACGTATGCTCACTGTGACAGGTGGCTGAACTCCTGCAACATCGTGAGGCTCCCAGTGTCGGTCTTTGCTCTTCAGTCTGTCGTAGAAGGGCCACCGTTGCTGATGCTCAGTTCAAGGTGATGACCGGTCCGAGTGCCAAGCGTCAGTGCGATGATACTTACGAGATTGATTGAATTGGCTTCGTCTGACTCTCAGGCCCGAGTCAACTCTTGCTGCTCGTCTCCGGTCACGTACCGCAGTCCGAGAAGACCAGAGGATGTGCCGGGCCGAGCTGGAGCACTGTTGGAAGACTTGCTCAGACTGACAGCATTGATTGTCTGAGTCTGCATGTGCGACTGCAGCAGCTGCTGACTGCTGACTCTGAAGGGCCATACATGCAAGATGGCCGGCCGATCGAATCAATGCTGGGGCCCCCAGCTCTGACTGGTTTAATAAAGTGAAAGTACGGGTTTAGGGGTTTGGGGTCCGGGCATGAGGCTTCTCGAACGCTAAATCCTGAACCGTCCGAGTTGCAAGCTCGTCGCTAAAACCTCAATCCTTCAACCGTTGCTCAACCTCAAAACCCTAAGTCCTCAACAACCT